GGTGTGCCAGGCCCAAGCTATGGTAGTTTCAGTAACCTCATATGCTTGTGAAAGTTGGACAGTGAATAAGAAAGACTGTAGAAGCATTGATACATTTGAGCTATGGTGTTGGAGGAAAATATTAAAAGTACCATGGACTGCCTAAAGGACAAACCAATCTATGTTGGACACAGTACAGCCAGGAAGCCAGGATGGTCAGACTTTGTGTCTCATACTTCGGACATATTGTCAGGAGGGTACCAGTCCCTGGAGAAGGATATCATGCTTGTTAAAGTGGAGGGTTGGAGAAAAAGAGGAAGACCCCCAGTGAACTGTATTGGGTTAATGACTGTAATGATGGGCTCAAGTGTAGCAATGATTGTGAGGTTGGCTAAGGACCAGGCGGTGTTTCATTCTGTTATGCATAGGCATAGGGTTGCTACGAGTTGGTACCAACTTGATGGCACCTAACAACAATAACAACATGCCAGATGTTCCCTATCCCTGCCCCAGAGGAAGGCGTGTATTCTTCCATTGAACCACAAATGTCCTATATTTACCCACTAGAAAAAAAAACACATCAGTACCACAATAAGTTGGCATCTCACACCAAGTAGATGGCTTTCTCAGAAAAGTGGAAAATACCCTGTGGGGAAGGATCCAGAGAAATTAGAATCATCCTGCATTGCTGATGGGAATGTAGAATGGTGTCGCCTCTGTGGAAAACAATGTGACAGTTCCTTAAAAAGTTACCCATAGAACCAGCAATGCTACTTCTAAGTGTGTACTCAACCAATTGGAAAGCAGGTACTCATACAGATACACACATACATAGCAATATCCATTGTAGCAGTATTTACAAAGCTAAACACTTGGGAACGATTCATGTTCGTCAACAAATCAAGGAATGAATAATATGTATAATACTAATTAATAATGAGAGTATTATTCAATCATGAAGAGAAGTGAAGTTCTGAATCATGCTGCACCATGGATGAAAACATGCTGAGGACACTTAAAGGACACATGGTTTATGATTCCGTGTGAATTATCTAGAATAGGCAAATACTTGGAGACCAAAGTTTATTAGTGGCTACTGGAGTTGGGGAGAAGACAAGGGAATAGAAATGATTTTTGTAGGGGTGTTGAATTTCTGCTTGTGCTGGCGTAAAACTTGTGGAAATGTCACCGAATTACACAGACTTAACTTTTTTGTTGTATACATTTAACCACAATTTGTTGTTGTTGTTAAGTGCCGTCGAGTCGGTTCCGACCCAGAGCGACCCTGTACAGGGTTTCCAAGGCTGTAAATCTTTACAGGAGCAGAACGCCTCATCTTTCTCCCGCGGAACAGCTGGTAGTTTCGAACTGCTGACCTTGCTGTTCGCAGCCCGATTTGTAACCACTACACTACCACAATAGAGTAATAATAATAAAAAGGACTTAGACTAAAGAAGGCTCCCAAGTAGTACTTAAAACCTGTTTTAAATGCTTATAACCTTCTAAGGTGAGTGTTTTGAAAGGGGATAGAATTTTTTTTTTTTTAATATAAATTTTTATTGTATTTAAGTTTTTTAAAACCAGTTATGTTATTTACCATCATTCCTTACTATGGAGAGCTCAGTGTGCTGTACTCTCAGGCCCTGTCAGTGGACAGAGCTGGGGCAATACCAACTAGGGGACACACACACACACACACACACACACACAACACGAGTTCATACCAGTACCTCCCCCATCAGTGTAACAGCACAGGGTTGATTCTTTTCCATTCTTGTAGCTTAAGCTTTGGCAACTTTCCTCAGGAGTTTAGCTGTAGCAGGAAAATTAGAAAATGGAATGATAGCAGGTAGGAATGTTGGGCCAGTGAAGCTGACTTTTTAAAATACTTTTTTTGGGTAACCAATGTGTTAAATATAATTCACATTTTGAGGACTAAGGGGTACCTGACCCAAAATATTGTATTTCCTTGGCTTTTTTTTTTTTTTTTTTTTTCTTGGCTTTTATAAAAAAAAAAAACACTTTTTGTTGTGAATTAAGTAACAGTTTTTAGAGAAGATCAACAAGTCATACACTCCACATTCAACAAGTCATATATTTTGTTTTATTGCAGTCATTGCAATCCCCTCCATGTAGTTTCAGTTATCTGTGAATTATTTCCATTTGACCCGCCTTCTCAGTCTTGTCCTTAGGTAGCTGCTGCCTTTACCTTGAATGGTTGACCGTTCCATGGTGAACACACCTTATCAGTGTTGGTGTCCCCACTATATACTTATCTACCACTTGGCTGAAAATTAAGCCATGAGGGTGAACTCAGTTCCAGACCCGAAGGGTGATTAGGGCCACAGTTTGGGGTTTCTCCCGTCAGTTTCTAGCCAGTAATTGTCTTTTTTATAATTTTGAGTTTTATAATTTTGAGTATTTTCAATCACCTCATAAGCATGCAAAAGCTGGGCAATGAATAAGGAAGACCAGAGAAGAATTGATGCATTTGAATTAGGGTGTTGGTGAAAGAGATTGAATATACTGAATACTGACTGTCATGGAAGGAAAGCCAGAATGTTCCTTAGATGTGAGGATGGTGAGACTTGTTCCTTGTACTGTGGAGATACCAGTTTCAGGAGAAGCACATTATGCTTGGTAAAGTGGAGTCAGCGAAAAAGAGGAAGACCCTCAACAAGATGGGTTGACACAGTGACTTCTATCCAGTTCAGTGATGCTGTGTTCACAGGGTGTGTAACGGTGATCTCAGCCCAGTGGTGAATGTTGAAGGAATGCTGCACACCCTTCCTGTGGTCCTGATGGGAGAAGTATTCAGACTTTCCCTGTAAACTATGATGCTAGTTTAGGCGTTTCATAGATGCTTTATCAGGGTTAATAACTTGCCTTTCTGTTCTTATCTCCTGAGAGTTTTTTCATGAATGATCTGGTGTTGTAAAAGCCATTTTTGCATCTTTAGAGATGATCACATGACTTTCCTCCTTTAATCCCTTAATATGGTGAGTTACATTGCTTTTCAAATGTTAATTAACCTTGCATTTCCAAGTTAAGCCCCACCTGGTCCGTGATGAATTAAACTGGCTGATATTTTATTAGACATTGTTTTTGATCTATGTACTTGTGGAGCATAGGTGTGAAAATGTCTTTTTTTTAAATGTGTTTGTCTAGTTTTGGTATTTGGATAATGCTTGTGGTATCCAATAAATCCTGATAGCGCTGACGGGTAAACACTGAGCTGCTAACCACAAGGTTGGCATATAAAACCCACCCACTGCATTGTGGGAGAGAGGTGAGACTTTCTGCTCCTGTAGTAGTCTTTTGTTGTTGTTGTGAAGTGCCATGGAGTTGGTTCCGACCCTTAGCGACCCTGTACAGGGTTTCTGAGGAGCAGCAGGTGAGCTTGAACCACCAACCTTGCAGTTCAACTGGCTAAGTAGTCTTTTCAGCTTCTGAAACCCTATATGGGGTCACTGTGAGTTGGAATCCTCTCTGGCAGTGGGTTTTGGGTTGCATGAAATGAACTGGGACATTTCCCCATAGCTTCCATTTACTTAGAGCATGTGTATGATTGGAATGATTTCTTCCTTAAATGCTGTCAGGAATTCACCAGTGAAAGCATCTGAGCCTAGAGGTTGCTTTGTGGGGATGGTTTTAAATTACATATTCAGTTATTTAAAACGTATTGAGCTATTCTGATTTTCTTTCCTTTTTTTTTTCTTTCTGCTGTTTTTATAATCTCTGTCTTTCAAAGAATTTTTCTGTATCAGTTAAGCCTAGGGTTGGCTTATCTGTACACTCGTGTATTTTTATATTTTTAAAGGGTTAACAAACTCAAGAAAATCCTAGGAAGGATTAATTTGCAATGGAGATCACCATATATGTGTCACAAAGTCTTTGTAGATACGCTTTGCTAATCCTGATTTAGGCTGTCCTCATTTATTGCTGTAAAATTGTCTTTAGTGTCTGGTATTATTTTAATGTGCAGATTTTTAGAGATTGCTCCTCTTTTCTTCGTAATAATAGCAATTTGGGTCTTTTGTTTCTCTGAATCAGCCGAGCTAGAAGCTTATCAATTTTATTGATCTTTTTAAAGAACCAACTTTGTTTTCATTGACTTTTCTTATTTTGTGTCTATTTACTGTTGTCCTTATTTCCTTTTTTACTCATCTTGGATTTAATTTACTTTAAGCCTTTTCCTAGTGTCTTAAAGTGGAGTCTTAGTGATGTTTCTTTTCTAATCCAAACATTTAAAACTGTATTTCCAAATGTTGATATATTATAGTTTTTAAAATTTTATTTTAAACTTAGTTAAGAACATCTTCTAAATGTCCTGAATGGTTCCTTGAAGAAATTTAGAATTATGTTGTTTAGTTTTCAAATACATATGGGGAGTTGCCAGATCTCTTTCCTTTCCTTCATTCTAATTTAATTTCCCTGTGTTCAGAGAAAGTACTCTCTTTCTCCAGTCCTTTAACATGTGTTGAGACCTGTTTTATAACTGAGCCCATGGCCTGTCTTGGTCAGAGGTCATGTGTGTGTGTAAAGAATACATGTTCTGCTCTTCTTGGAGTGTTCCAGTAATGTCATTTAGGTCGTGTTGGTTTACAGTGTTGAGGCTCTATTTATTTTGTGGGTTAGGCATTGTGCTGTTAGCCATAGGTTGGCTGCTCCATGAGAGAAAGATGATACTGCCTGCTCCCATAAAGTGTTGCCAACTTGGAAACCCTATATAGGGTTGCTGTGAATTAGAATTGATGCACTGTCAATGGGTTTGGTTTTAGTTTTGGGGTAAGCTTCATTTTTGGAGAGATTTGAATATTGTTTTTAAGTTTACTGAGGAAATTAAGGAATTGGGCAAGCGTTTTTATCAGTAGAAGACTACGGAGTCTCTGCATGGAAATGGGGTTGGATGAGCAAGAAAATTTGAATTTATGAAAAGATTTTTAGACCCATTCCAGCCATGAACAATCATTGAGTCTTTCTGTTCGTTATAAATATGCAACAAATGGCCAAGGTGCATTTAATTTGGAAATTTTTTTTCAATTATTATACACCAGAGTCTTAGAAAAATTTCAGTATTCTTCCCATGAAGTATTTGATTTTGAGCAATTTCCTTTTCCTGATAGATTAGTATACTTTGTAAAATATACACTAGGGGAATACAAGAGTTTGTAAGATACTGGTCACATTCTATATCTGATGTGGGTTTGGGCATCTTTATATGGTGATTGACTATTTTTTTTATATCTTACATATGTTACAAATATCATGCATGTATCAAGTATTTAATTAATGAATTAAAAAATATATCCTGAAGTAACCCGGGGCTTAAAGTAACCTGAACTTACTTCATTGGTACAAAACATATCATTTTATACAAAGCAGGTACATTGCTGGCCTAATTGCACTCCAGTGTTAGCCTAGGGTGTATTAAGTCATCATTACTGTATGAAAGTATGCCACTAATTCTGTGGTCCATGAAGGACAGTTAGTAGATAAAAGTACTTTCAGACTAGTGAAGGTAGTGTTTGAAAGGTGGTTGTTATTAATAAGTTTCCTAGAGTTGGTTCCCACTCACAGCAGCCCATTATTGGCTTTCTGAGGAGCTGCTGATGAGTTTGAACTGGCGATCTTGTGGCTCAAACTGACCTTGCAGCCCTGCACCTATCCTAGAGTGCCACACTAGGACTCCATTTGAAAGGTAAATGAGGTCATATTACTGTACTTTATACACAAATTCAAATTATTTACCTGATTTCTCACTAGACTATATCTTAGTGTTAAAACTGCTTAGTGTGAGTGCTAAGGAGGCTGGTGACACTGTAGAATAAGTACTGGACTGCTAACCACAAGAAGGCTTTCTGTTTCCCATAAACATTGACAGCCTTGGAAACTCTATGCAAGTTCACCGTGAGTCGGAATAGACTCCACAGCACCTAGCAACAACAACAGTGTGCATTCTGGTTCCATCACGTTCTGTATGATATTGATTGGACAAGTAATGCCGCCTCCTGGAGCTTGAATTTTTACTTCACAACTGGTTGGCAGAGGGATTGTTTTCCCTCAATTGGTTGGTAACTCACTGTTTTGCTGCCTTTTAGCTTTTGGCATTTGAGCAATTTTTTTCACATCTGCAACTGTATATTATGTTGGAAATCTAACAGGATTTCTAGTTACAAGGTTAATTAAATAAATTCTTACCCAGACATTTCTGTACTTCCAGGTGAATCCCCGAGCGCTGTTGTTTGGCCATACCGCTTCCATCACCTGCCTGTCTAAAGCTTGTGCCGCCAGTGAGAAGCAATACATTGTGAGTGCGTCTGAAAGCGGGTGAGTATTTTCTTAGTCATTTCGTTTCTCTACAATTCTTCATTGCAAACATATCGATGCTACTTTCTCTTCCCACCCTTTTGGAGTTTCTCTTAAATAAAAGTTTTCACTTGTGTAACTAAAATTTTACCGCTATCAAAATTCAAACTGAGATATTTAAAATATAATTTGAAGCATGTGAATTTTATCTCTCTGAATAATTTTTACACTTTGATTGTAATTTATGAATATGCCGTTGCCTTGCTTTTGAGAAATTCAGAGTACCATGGACATCAAAGCGTGACTGTTAACCCCCAGGACATTCGTTGGGGTTGGGAGACAACTTTCTGTTTATTAGAAAACATGGAAAATGCTAGACTAACATCAGTTTGGAAGATGAAGCCATGTAAAAGTTCATGTAGTTACACTGAATGTTTGTAAATACACTAATATAACTGTGTGTGTTCCTGAATCTCAGATATAGTTTGTTGTGTTGGACAGTATAGGATTCTTGGTGGTGCAGTGGTTAAATGCTGAGCTGCTAACTGAAAGGTCAGTGGGTTCAGCCCACAGGTTGCTGTGTGGATGAGAAGACTTGGCAATCTGCTTCTATAAAGGTTTCAGTCTAGAAGTTCAGCAGAGGGAAATTCAGCTCTTGCAGGCTTGCCATGAACCAGAATGGCCTTACCATACCCAACAGCAATAGTTGTAAGTGCCAGCCTGTGGGAATTTTCACAACTTTTTTGGTGCTTCTTGTTGTTGTTAAGTGCCATGGATCCCCTTCATACTCATATATATAGGGGTTCCAAGGAGCGATTGTTGAGTTTGTACCAGCGACCTTGTGGTTCAAACAGCGCCATACCAGGACTCCTTTGGTGCTGAGAAAATGACATATTTACACAATGTATTATTGACAAGCATTGGGGAAATTGAAGAGAACTATTAGAGTCCCTATTCCAATTCATAGTGACCCTCCATAGATTTTCTGGGACCGTTCATCTTTAGGGGAGCATGCAGCCTCATCTTTTCCCCTGGGAGCTGCTGTTGGGTTTGAATCGCTGAGTTCAGGATTGACAGCCTAGCACCTAAATTCCACCAGGGCTAGATGTGCATAAATGGATTGAATGTTTTGTGAAAAACGATCTCATACACATGTTGTTGTTGTGAAGTGCTGTCGAGTCGATTCCGACCATAGCGACCTTGTGTAGGGGTTCCAAGGAGCAGCTGATGAGCTTGAACCACTGATCTTGCCTTTCAAATGACTTTGCAGTCTGACACATTAGCCCACAGCGCCACACCAAGACTCCCTCATGCTATATTCATACTATATAAGATATTGGAAAAGAACATCTTTACTAAAACTTTAACAGTATGAGAATTATTGCATCTTATTTATTGACATTTCTAATTTCCATATCGTAAGGTACAGTTCTGAACCAACTAATTTTGCTCTTATGTTTAGTAAGTGTAGACTCCTAGTGTGGCACTGTAGTAGTAACACTGGATTTCAAACCACAAGGTCGGTGGTTCAAACCTACCAGTTGCTCCTTGAAAACACTATATAGGGTCACTATGAGTCAGAACTGACTCGATGGCACTCAACAACAACAACAACAACAATATGTTTAATTGGGAGCATGGTGGCTCTATACAAGAAGCACTGGACTGCGAATCACAAGGTCCTCAGTTCGAGCCTCCCAGCTGCTCCACAGAAGAAAGATGAGACTTTCTGCTCCTGCAAAGATTTAAAGCCTCAGAAACCCAATACAGGGTCACTGTGAGTCAGAAGCAACTCCATGGCACTTAACAACAACAACAACAATCCTTAGTTAAAGATACAAGCTTTGTTGCTGTTGTTTTAGTTTTCTGTATGCGCTCAGTAAAACTTCTGCAATAAATACAAAAATGTAAACTGAAATACTATATTTAATTTGCAGAAGTTTGGAGTTCAGTTAACTTTCTTTAAAAACTTTATTGTGAATTGTGTGAATGCTTATAGACAAGTTGGTCTTTCAACAAATACCCTTTGTTTCATCTAGAGTTCAGTTAGCTTTAACTTTTGTTTTGTGCTATGCTAAATACTCTACTTCATATGCCACTAACGTAATATAAGTAAAGTCATTGCTAATATATAAGGAAATAGCATTTTTTATATACTCGTTATTTTGTTTACTTAAATGTTAACATTTTCACTATGGAATTGAAACAGGAATGCAAAGCTATGTGCTAGGCTTTGATGACCATGGAAGATCTCAGCTGTTTGAATTCAGAGTTTATTTCTTGTTTTTGTCATTGCCCATCATGTGTCACCTGGGAGCTCTGTTCTGTTACTACCATTGCTTTGGGGGTCAGATTGAGGGAACAGCCAGTATCTGGAGTACGTGTCAGCGGAGGGAGAATTCTGGAGAACCCCGTGTCCATCTGCCAGAACTCCTCAAAGCCCCAAACAACCTGGAGGGAACCAGGAAGTGCAGTGCCACCAGGAGACCAGAGAGAATGCAGACTGGGGGTGAGAGGTGGGAGGAGGGGGTGGGGAGGAGCCACATTTTTGACAAACAGCAAAAATGAGTACATGCAAATTTTTTTTTTTTTTTTTGTAAAAGACACTATTTTTTAAATGGGAGATGAATGTGTGACCACTGGGACAAAGTTGAATAGAGCTTTTAAAAATCCAATTTGAAATGACCTGTTCTTCATTTTGTTTTATAGAGAGATGTGCCTCTGGGATGTGAATGATGGCAGATGTATTGAATTTACAAAGTTAGCTTGCACACATACTGGCATACAGGTTCGTATCTGCCCTTGTGAATGCTTAAGTCAACACACACAAAAAAATAATAATAAATGCAATTAACACTGTAAAGGATTGAACCTTTGAACCTATATTTTTTAAAGAAAAGGGCTGGGGCGAGATCACAGACGAGGAGACTAGTACTGAAGTAGTGAAAGTATTCCTCGTAAGTTGGTAACATGCGGAAGGCAGTAAAGGCAGGAACCAGTGGGGAGTGGTGGTGGACAAGGTCATTGCCACCTCTGCTCCTGCCGGTCCTGGGCATCCGGGTCACCCAGCTGAGTAAGTGCTGCAGGTCCCAAAGAGAATTCGCTCTTGCTAGAACCATTGTAGGCTGACTGCGAGTCAGAATCGACTCCCTGGCGGTGGCAGTGAGTTTGGTCTGAGTTGAAAGCCTTTATGATTCTACTGCTGGTTGGCACAGTCTGATCTGTCTGGAGTACATATCTCTTACATTTCTTCAGCATATTGCCTTTTTTCAAAAAAAAGTTTTTTTGGAAGACCTTCTGACTCTTTGGAAAAAATGACTGTTTCATATGTTATATAGAGTATTGCACAAGAATTTGCAGCTTCTAGTTACATTCCTTGTATTCTTTCTTAGTCTTATAATTACCATGTTTTTCCTCCTTCAGTTAACTGACTATTTGCCATGTTAAATACTGGAAAAATGACAAAGTATGATTTCTGTTCATAATGGTAAAGGATTAGGAAGATAACTCACATTTATTAAGCATATCCTGTAAAGGTATTTCTGTTTTTTTAAAAAATTAGTTTACTTTGTGCTGTTGAAATCTGCACAGTGAAACAGTTACTAACTCGACAGTTTCTATTTATATGATTTCTTGACTTTGTGTCCAAAATTTGAGTGTGCAAGCATTTCCACGCTCCTTTGCTGAGTTGTTCCTTGTCCATTAACATAAATTCACTGTCTCTTAAGTGTTCCTTTCCTAATCTTTTGAATTGCTGTTGTCAACCTGATCTCTTGAAAGAGCACAATGCGGTTTACTAGTGAAGCTAAACTATTTTTAGTTTTCAGAACACTTCATGGGATATTTTTGGTTTAAGGTTTAAAGTTATCTCAGGGCAGTAGTTTCAAGGTTTAAGTAAAGACAATTTTTGTCTAGTACTTCATTTACCATATCACATCCCAACAAATTAAAGAGGAGTATATCATTTTGTGTGTAAAGAAAGAGGAGATGCAGGTAATTAAAAGGACTTAATCGAGTTTTAGGGTGAGTCATTCCTGGTGCCTGGATCCCAAATTGAGATTATCCAGTTCTTGGGACCATGTACTTTCTGTTACATTATACTTTTTCCCTTAAAACAAAATCATTTGTTGAGAAAGGAAATTGTCTGTTTTCATACAATGAGAACAGCAAAGGAAGATGTTTGTGGAGAGTTGATGGTTAGTGTCTTTTGTGAAAAGTGTTCCAAACCAAGCTGAAAACAAACCGTATCAGTTGCTGTCAAATCCATTGTGACTCATGGCAGTCCCATATGTGTCAGAGCATTACTGTGTTCATTAGGGTTCTCAATTGCTTTTCAAACAACTTTTTATTGGGTATTGAGTAAAAGGTTACTGAGCCCATCATCAGTTTTACATCCAACAAAACCACGCACTTTGTGACTACAGTCCTCCCTGTGGAGACTGTCTCCATTCCATCCCACTTCTCAATCCCTCTGAACATTCCCCAGGTAAATGTTGACCTTTTGATCTTGAATGGTTGACCATTCCATGGTGAGCAGATCTCACTAGTGTTGTTGTGCCCTCTCTATATATATCTAGCCACCACTTGGTTGAAAATTGGGCCACCAGGGTGAGTTCCGTTCCAGACCTGAAGGTGGTTGAGGGTTATAGTCTCAGGTTCCTCCAGTCTCTTTCTGACCTGTAAGCCCAGACTTCTTTGTATAGTTTTGAGTTTTGTTCCACAATTTCTCTCACTCTATCTGTGCCTTCAAGTGTGATCCGTTCCAGAGCAGTTGGGAATGGTAGCCGGGCACCATCTAGTTCTTCTGGTCTCAGAGTCATGGAGACTGATGGTCACATGGTCCATTAGTCCATTGGACTAATTGACTCCAAGCATCTTCAATTTTCATTACTCTTTTTCTTCCACACTTGGGGAGACCAATAGTTACACTTAATGAACATATAAGATCTCAGATGCTACTCACCAAAGTAGGCTATAGAACATTGTGTTTGTAGATTGCATTCTGCCAGCTAACCACAGTGTTACCTGAGCCTGTGGTCCTGAGCTCCCAGAGCCAGAACTCATTCCCTCAAGGTGTTCGGGAATGTCTAAGAAGTTTTCATCATTTTGTCCCTATATGCTCTACAACATTGACAGGTATGTTTGCAGGAAAGGTAAATTGGCTGTTTTTCTGGAAGTTTGACCAGCCAGCCTTGTTTCACATGCATGGCTGTGTAGACTGTGAGTGCTTAACTTTGTGCCGCTCAGGGACCATGAAAAATGTCTTCCTCAGTAATGTTAGGACATGCACCTTTGATTTAAAGTGCTTGTATTGCTTATTTTTATTATGTGAGGAGTCATTAAAGTTTGTAGTGAGAAAAGGGTTATTAAAATGATGTAGATTCTTGACTTTATAGACACTTTATTTTAACTGAAAACCGTATGTAAGTGCCTTGAATTCATTTACTGTAAACATTTTGACCTTATTGTAAAATCTTACAATATAAAAAGTCTAGATTGAAATTTTGTAAAGAGCATTCTTATTGATGAAACGTATCTTTAGCACTTAGCGTTTATGAGGCCCTGTGTTAGGTCATCTGTAGAATGGTAGCCATTGCTAAGTAGAAATGGCTTTTGGACAAATTCACTAGTGAGGTAGCAGGTTCTTTCCTTTGTGACCTCAACTTCTTAGGTCCAGAAATGGCTTGTTTCTTAAAGTACAGAGATGGCAAACCTTTTGTGACGATGACACTTAATTGAAACCACAAGGAAATGCCAGTTTATTACATTATCATGTGGGGTATCCTTTTTTAATGTTTGTAAAACTTACTGTCCTATTAAAGAACTTTCTTTGCCAGTGCCCAAGCATCTTAGGAGCTAAATTACTATTCACAAGCTTGTGTGAAACTATGTCTTTAAAACACCAGGTGGCAGGGATGTAGGCAGGCAGGTCTGAGAACGTAGTCCTGCCCTCAGGTGAGATCTCTTCTCCAGAGGCTGTAGTGTACTTGTCTCTCCTGCTAATGGTGGATGCATCTCTATGTCCATCCTTTCCTCCCTGTGGTGGTGGTGGTGTTTAGTGCCAACTTATAGTGACCCGGTCCAGGGTTTGTGAGGAGCAGCTGGTCCCTGTGGTTACCAATCCACCCAGTACTTCTCCTGCATTGCCACAGCCGCCCCCCTATGATTACAGTATTATTGTGTGAGTGAGTGACTGGCAGTCCCCGGAACCTCTCTCTGTCTGTTGTGCTTTGTGAATCAATCTTCTGAGATTTAGAGGTGCTCCCTTGTGGCAGTCTGCATTTTATAATAGCATCTCTTCAAGGTCTAGTGGTGCTTCCTTATTCCTCTTAGAAGAAAGGCCCGATGATTACAGCTTAGACATCAGGCTCTGAAAACAGTTCTACTCTGACCCACACGGGGTTGCCATGAATTGAATCAACTTGATGAGAACTAGTTTTATTTTTGTTCTTTGTGTTGTTGTTGTTGTTAAGTGCCATTGAATCGGTTCCGACCCATAGCGACCCTGTACAGGGTTTCCGAGGGTGTAAATCTTTACGGGAGTAGAAAGCCTCATCTTTCTCCCGGGGAATGGCTGGTAGTTTCGAACTGCTGACCTTGTGGCTCGCAGCCCGATTCGTAACCACTTTGTAGTACCTTTTTATAGTTAATGATTAATGTTTATACTTAAGATGTTTTACTGGAGTCTTGGTGAGGCACTTTGGGATAAGCACTGGATTGCTATCTACAAGATTAGTGATTCAAACCTACCAGCCACTCCTCCGGAACCCTATACAGGGCCACTGTGAGTTGGAACTGACTGTGCAGGGCAGCACTTAGCAGCAACAACAACAAGGCTGTGTTCTCCATGATTGACAGAAGATAGTATTCCTTCACACACAACCCTGAGCTCTGAGAATGGAATAATGGGCCTGGGAAGAAGAGACTAGATCTAGCATCTCTTAGTTATCACCCCATCTGTGGGGATAAAAAGAAAACTTAGGTGTGAATTTGTCCCTAAATAGTTCAAAAGAGAGGATTGAGTTGTTGGGAAAAACACAATTTTTGTTAGATATTTTGAAATGTGACAGAAATAACTTGATACGTGTATATGTATACCTACACAAATAAATATAACATGTACCAAATGGTACGTACCTGGAAATATTACTGAAGAAGCTTAGGAGAATATCGTAGATAGCTTTATGAATACATATCAGTCAAGTATCTAAACTAATGGAAAACATTTTCAAATCTTTTTCCTTTTAATCCAAATTTAGTTCTACCAATTCTCTGTTGGAAATCAGCGGGAAGGGAGGCTCTTATGCCACGGACATTACCCTGAGATCCTCGTTGTGGATGCCACCAGCCTGGAGGTGTTATACTCCCTGGTATCAAAGATATCGCCAGACTGGATTAGCTCCATGAGCGTAATTCGATCTCACCGGACACAAGGTGAGTGGAGGACACTTTAGGGAAACGTTAGCCCCGTGACTTCGTTTTAATTTAAAACCCACTGCTGTCCAGTTGGGTCAGATTCACAGTGACCATTCAGGGCAGAGTAGACCTGCTCCTTTGGGTTTCCTAGACTGTAAAACTTTACAGGGGCAGACAGCCTCATTTTTCTCTTACAGAGTATCTGGTGGATTTGAACTGCCAACCTTACAGTAACTAGCACAGTGTTTAACCGACAGTGCCACCAGGACCCCTTATAAAGTCCTGTCCCTAGAAAACCAAACTGACTGCCATTGAGTGGATTCTGACTCATAGTGACCCCAGATAAGGTCTCTGGGGTTGTAAATCTTTATAGGAGCAGAAAGCGTCATCTTTTTCCTTCTGAGCAGCTGGTGGGTTTGATGTGCCCATCTTGTGGTTTAGCAGTCAAGTACTTCTACAGTGCCACAAGGGCTGTAAATTAATCATTCTGATTTTGTCATTTTATTTAAGCAATAGCCATTACAATAATTTACTGTCGGTTTCCTTCATGGAGCACTCTGATCGAATGAAGATTTCAGGTGTTGATAGGCGTGGTGACTGTCTTTTGGCAACTTTAGAGTGTGTGGGTGATTTTCTGAAGCAGAGGAAGAATCCCTGAGGTCCGGGGAGCTGTGGTTTCACTGGTGTCTTTCTGGAGCCGGGCTGTATTATGTGCTTAGGGGGTTCCACTTTCAGAGAGCGACAATGTGGGAGTTGCACCCAATGACATGAAACAACATATGTATGAATTGTTTAACGGAAAACTGATTGACTCTGTAAACCTTTAATCAATTTGCAATAAAAAGCTGAAACAACAACAGCAACAACAAAAATCTTACAAAAGGTGGAGGGTCAGAGAAAAAGAGGAAGACCTCCAGCAAGATGGATTGGCAAGGTGGCAGCATCAGTGGGCTCAAGCATGGCAACAGTTGTGAGGTTGGCCCAGGGCCAGGCAGTGTTTCGTTCTGTTGTGCACAGGGTCGATATGAGTCGGCACCGACTCGATGGCACCTAACAAGAATGACAATATGTTCTAAGAGAAACATTTCCTAAATGTATCACTAAATTAGAAGTCTCAGAGTAAGAGATCCAGTTTGATCATATTTATATAACAATACTGCTTCCATGTGTGTATGTGTATGTATCTGTAAACGTACTGGAAAAACTCTAGAAAAATGCACACTATCAATAATCTCTGAAAAAAAGAGAGAGTAGATTACACACAGTTAAATAAATTTAATAAAAGTTCTTTTTAGATAAGTTATACATAGTTGATGCTCAATAAACAGTGCTATCCTTTCTTCATTTCTGTTGAAAACCTTTTCAAGAACAAGCATGAGAGTGAAAGTAAACTTGGTCAGAAAAAGAGCAATGATTAATGTTGACCATGAAGTGTATGTATTGTTTTATATAAACCTTTATAGGAACATTATTGCCCCCCATACCAAATGGTTTCGTGGTTATATACTGTACCACCACGACCAGCATTTCATATATTGGACGCTTATAGTATCACTCACCATGCCAATAAGCATTTGCATGTTTTCATTCGCACAACCTCCAGCCTGGCAGGCACTGTTGCCATTTGGCCTCTAGGATACATTGAGGATGGTGGAAACTTCGTTGAAGATCACAGGGCTAGTTAGTGTTCGGCTGATGGGTGGCGGCTCGGCTCCAGAGGTCTTGCCTTAACCTCTGTGTTACACTGCTTCCCATCAGTGAGCTGTTTTCATTTTCATGGGCGCTTTCCTTTTTAACATTTTAAGCTTAGAAACCAGCACATAGCTTTTAATTCAACAGTCATTCGGCAACTGTTTTTGGGAACCTTATTATCGTCTACTATGCACCAGACTGCAAAGCCATTTGAATTGCAAGATCAGCTGTTCAAGCTCACCAGCTGCTCCTCGGAAACCTTATACAGGGTCTCTATGGGTCGGAGTCAACTCGACGGCACTTAACAACAATTATCTTCCTCTAAGGAGCTCTGGTAGCATAGTGGTTATGAGTCAGGCTGCTAATTGTACAGTCAGTAGTTCAAAACTACCAGCAGTTCTGCAGAAGAAAGATGAGGCTTTCTGCTCCCATAAAGATTTACAGTCTTGGAAACCCTGTAGAGGGTCACTGTGAGTCAGAACCGACCCCATGGCACATAACCACCACCACCATTATCTTCTACTGGAGTCCTGGCTTGGCGCTGTCAGATAAGCACTGGACTGCTAACCAATAGGTCGGCAGTTCAAACCTTGCAGCCACTCCTTGGAAACCCTATGTATGGTTGTTCTGTGTCAGAACCGACTCAATGGTACTTAACAAGAAAAACACGAACTTAACAATGCTATCTTCTAGGTGCAGGGTTTGAACTAATTAAGGGACTCAAATCCTAGTGAGGGAGGCTGATGATATATAGGCAAATATCAGTTCATGTTTTAAAGTGTGGTAGTAGGGCATATATAAAGTGGAGAAAGCGTACGGAGAAGATGGAAGTAGCCAGGGCCATGAACGTGCCAGAGAGCTTTGGGAGAGGCTGCCCAGATGAAATCTCATCAAACATTTGGAAGATGAGGAGGAGTTTTCTGGCAGACATGGAGTCAGGATGTTTCTGGCAGAGGAAACTAGTCTGTACAAAGGTGCAAAAACATTCAAAATAGTCTAGACATGTGTGGGGAAGTGTAAATGATCTTTTCCTGGGCTAGGAAGTATCAAGGGAGGAGTGACAGGGTATGAGGCTGGTGGTGTTGGCAGGGGCGAGATCAGAAGGGCCTTGTATGCCAGCTGGGAGCTTAGATTTTACCCTGCAGAGCAGAGGTTGGCTGGCTTTTGCTGTAATGGTCCAGATCATTAATATTTTAAGCTTTGCACCACGTACAGTCTGTGTTGCGCTATCTGTATGTTATCTGTGGCTGCTATTACAGATAAAAACAGCCATAGCTAGCACATAGATGAGTAAGCATGACTGTGTTCTAATGGGTTGAACTTGGGTGGTTCCTTGGCTGCTAACCAAAACGTTGAATGTTCAAGTCCAGTCAAACTCTAAGGAACACAGTTCTACTGTGGCACACATAGGGTCACTGTGAGTCAGAATCGACTCCACGGCAACTGGTACACTAATAAAACTTGATTTCTAGCACCAGCCAGTGGACTGTCATGGACTCTGGCCTGTATGTAGCCTGCTGGCCCCGGCTGCGGTTGGTGGGGTCGTCGCTGTAAAAGAATGCATGAAGCGACTCATCTCAAAATGTGTCTGGTGACTTTGTTGAGAACGTTCTAGATGGGAGCACACTAGTGAAAGTATTATATTGTCATAGCCCAGCTGACAAAGGTGGAGGTCTGAACTAAAGCACTGACTTTGGAAATAGATTTAATAGGCCTTATAACAGTGCCAAAGGGTGTTTTAAAGATTATTTGTTAATAGGTGTTAGTGGTCAAGTATGTTTGGGAAGATGGAATTGAGCAGGCTTCTTTAATGTGGGGCCTTCTAAGAGAGGGCTTGTAGGCATATTAAATAATTGCTGCTTTATAAAAGCATGAAAAGTGAAAGTGAGATCCAGTCTAATTTTCAGGCAATAGGGAGCTCATTATTAGCGTGGTGACTTCTAGTCTTTGTTAGGGTCAAGGCTTTCTTTAAAAAATGTATTGTATTTGTAACAAGCAGTTTGTACATTTTCAATTATTACACTTTCTCCACATTTGGGATATAAGAACATGCCTCATGGTTGCTGGTTCAAACACAATGTAAATCTTTAATTAGAGCATTTGATGTCATCTATGGAATTCTAAACGTTATTGGCTTGTAATGTTGCGTGCATATATGCATTTTCATTTGCATTTACCATATTCTTGTCTGTGGATATTTAAGATTTTAGATACACTGATATGTTGCATTTTTACTGTCATTGACAATGCTTGTGAGCAGTTGTTACCACAGGAATCTTGGTACATGTGGTAATTAATGTAGCCCCAGTGTCTTCTGTTGGAAATTGTATGATATGATAAACTTTTTACTGAAGGATAAATATTCTTTTCTTATAATCATTTATTGTGAATTGACTAAAGGTTTACAGAGCAGATCATCAGTTTATATTCAATGACTAATACTTTGATTCATTACAATAAGTGTAATTCACAACAGTTCACAGTATTTACCTCTGTTCTCTCGATTGCATTTCCTACTCTGTCTCCTGCTACCCTTATCTTTCCTCAGCTAACCTCCCTCATATTGTATATTGCCTGCCCCATCACCCATGTTAACACATGTCTACGCTCTAGGAGTCCTGGTGTGGCACTGTGGGTTAATTCGCCAGACTGCAAAGCCGTTAAAACTGCAAGGTCGGTAGTTCAAGCTCACCAGCTGCTCCTTGGAAACCGTATACAAGGGTCGCTATGGGTTGGAACCAACTCGACAGCACTTAACAACAAAAACAACAACACTCTAGCCCATGAATAATTTTCCCTCCTCCGCCTACCTGCCCTGGTAATGATTATATTGTTGTTGTGTAGTGAAGTGCCATCGAGTCGGTTCTGACCCATAGCGACCCTGTATAGGGTTTCCGAGGAGTTTGAACCACTGACCTTGCAGTTCAAATGGCTTTACAGTCTGGTTCATTAACACATAGTGCCACACCAGGACTCCAACCATTTTAGAATGTTTCTTTTATTAAGAAAACTTTTTCTCAACTTTTTATAACAGTGGTCTCATATAATATTTGCCCTCTTGTGATTGAGTCATTTCACCCAGCATAATATATGTCCTCCAGGTTCAACAAACAATTCATTTTAATAATTAAACTTTATTGAAGATTTAGTATGTGCCAAGCACTATACCTGTCACAAGTCTTAATTCTCATAGCAATTCATTAAGGTAGGCGTATAGTTGCCATATATGTTACTAGCTAAGCAAATTGAATTTCAGGTAGACTAGTTAAGCTGTAAAAGGACCCCTGGTGGCACTGTGGGCAAGGCAGTGGTGGAAAGTTTGGTGGAGATGGCTGAGGCTGTCTGCTCCCAATGAGGGTCACAGTCTTCGAAACCCAAAAGAACAGTTCCACTGTGCACGGTAGGATCACTAGGTGTTAGAATCTACCAGCTGCCAGTGAGCTTGGGTAATTTTGGTGTTCAATTGTCCACAGTTGATTGGCTAATTAGTGAGGGAAAATGTCACTTTTCATACATTCCTCCCTCACTGGGAAGCAAGTGTGAGACTGCTTTCAAATGCTCCCGCTCTCAAAGTTCACGCACATCTCAGTGATGCTGTGACTGGCTCCTCCCCTGATGCTTGTGAACGTAGATTGTACATCACATCTCTTAACCACAACCTGTGTAGTGTGCAGTGTGCCACACAGCATATGGAGGCAGGTGAGCTAGGTGGGCAAGAAGGAACAAAGTGACAGTGACCACAAGGATCATGGCAAGTTGTCATGTTGACAAAAAACAACCTTTGGTGACATAATTGTCAAGGGCATTCGTTGTTGGTGCAAAATTGTAAAAGCTCTCAGGTAACTACAAACAACTTCCTGCATTCCTCATTTTTGGCGATCTCATTTTTTAAGTCCATTTCAACATCTGAATTTGTTCCTTGGTAAACTACAGCACTGTGTTTTTCTGTGAATTGTAAAGCTTGTTTAATTTCATGAAAGCATCTGTAGGAAGGGGGCGTGTCATGTGTCTGAACCTTGGCTGCTTGTCCCTTTCTGTCTAGAGGACACTGTGGTTGCACTCTCGGTGACAGGCATCTTGAAGGTGTGGATCGTCACCTCCGAAGTCAGCGGTTTGCAGGTGAGACAAGCGAGATGGCAAGGGATGCGGCTGCTTTTATTTTTTTTTAATGCAATCCTGCCTTTCAGTAATTAGATGCAGCACCCACATTTTCCTTCCTGTCAGAGAAGGATAGTCTTGGAGAGATCGTGTAGAAGACACTCTTACTTTGATGGTAGGCATCTGCACTATCAAGGATACTAACTAGGGAAACATACTGCTCTGAAGATCAAATAGAGAGCGTGAGAACGGTGGGGTTTTCCTCTGTTGCTTTTGTTTTAAATAAAAGGTACTTTGATAAACAAATCACCACAAAATAGTATATAAAGCCGTGTTTTGGCCTCTGTCTCAGTTTTGTAGGCATGAATTCCTTGTTGCATGTAAACCAATAAGAAAGATCAATTTTGGACATTATTAATGCTAATCTTTACAGGTGGGAGATTTTTAGGCATTGACTCTGGGAGAAACTGGGTGAATGACCGATTATTAAGAAAGAAAGAAGAAACACTAAAAGCACTAAAAGAAACACTATGGAGCTTTAAAAATTGGTATTACCACAGACTTTGAGGATCTGTCATTATGAGGGTGGTGGCACTCTGTCATCAGTGTTGAATCTTGAGTCATTTTATAGCAAACACGTTTGTGCCCCGCTGTTTTTAGAAGGTGTCTTGCTGCTTTTGACCCTTCACCCCTCTGAGAAGCTGAAATGATGGCCATGTGAAGGATGCCTTGATTTCCTTTGGTTTCTTGATCCTTGTGTGATCCCTTTAAGTAAGTTACAGTTAAAGCATTCCTAAAGTTTTACAAATCTTTTCTCTTTTCAGGACACTGAGCCAATATTTGAGGAAGAATCCAAACCAATTTATTGTCAGAATTGCCAAAGCATCTCTTTCTGTGCATTCACACAAAGATCACTTTTGGTTGTGTGCTCCAAATACTGGAGGGTAAGATGACTTGACTTCCGAGTAAGCAACTCCATTTCTATGCCTCAGAATGTTGGTTCACCAGACTTCCAAAGTTCCCTTCAGGAAAGTGGAGTGCAAGAATGCTTTAACCATTTAGAATTCATGTCTGCCTCTGATAGCCACTTAAACTTAAAAAAAAAAACACCAAAAACGTGGATGGAAGAGTTTGGATTCAGCTATTAATAGTTGTCTTTTCCATTTTCTTTTTGTCCAGTTTATGACAATTATCCTACTGATACTATGTTTTGCTGGTGCTTTAGTCGTTATCTTGTCAGTATAATATAAGTAGTAGTCCTGAGTTTTCTGCAGGTAGATGTCGGGGACCAGCCTCGACAGGGAAGTTTGGTTCACAAAGTAGGGAGATCTGGCAGCGAAAGAGATAGAAAAAGAATATACACAAAGACGTGACAAGAAAGACAAAGAGATACCCCGAAACCAGAGTGGATGTAAGACTGGCAGGCAGACCCTGGATTGCAGGCATCATGGCCCCTGCAGGCAGTAATGCACGCAGGGTTCCATCTGCATTTGCCTTTTATTTCAGGGAGGGATTTTACACAAAGGACGAAGGTGATCATTAAGACAGGGTACAGAAATGAAATGTGATTAATTGTTCAAAACAGGACACAATGATTTACAGGAACAAATTCTAAAATATACATCTCAAATTATCTTAATAATCTAACATCCTTAATTTTCCAGAAATTCAAGCAAATTGTTATAAGTTACTTTTTAGGTTCAAATCCTAAGGCAGTGACTCGAGGTTTCTCAAGGCTAAGTAACGTACCTATAGCACTTAATCTCGAATGGGTAAAGGTGAAAAGGATTTCAAAAGGTCTGAAGAGAGTCAAGCTGTTTCAGCTACCAGGCTTAGGCTTGCAGGAGGAAGAAGGATGCCTAGGTTAAGGGTTTACACCTGGGGATGATTTAAGGAGGTTGTCCCTATTATTCCTTGAACAATACTCTGGAATTCGCCAATCTACTTTGAGTGAATTCCTTGGGCAGATTGTCTCCAGAGCCTCCTTGCGGAATCCCAGCAAACTTGCCTTTGGAACTTTTATGGCCTCGGCTTTAGAAGAGGTTTTTGTTTTAATATTTGTTCAGGGGTATCAAGGGCTCATGTATTAAGTTAATATCAAACATAACTGAATAATTTGATAAAGAACAGTTTGGACATTCTTGCCAGGTGGCCAGAGTTTGTTCCTCAGAGAGATTTGTTCCCAGGACCCTACGCACTGCCAACACAGTAGAGACATTAAGAGAGGCACATAAGAAACCATTTTCTCAGAAGCTACAATTACTGGAGTTAGAAGCATAGAATGAATAATAAGACCAAAGAAAATTATACAGAGGTAGCCAAACAGTGAGTTCTCAAAAGCCAATGAACCCGGGACGTCAGGAGGACACTTCCTTTGGCCCTCAGGGTCCCTGGCTAGCCATCCTGAGTGGGGCCATCATGTAGGATTTTCATCCATGACACAGGGCCTCACAACTCAGTTCTTTGCGGTCCCCAACAGGTAGAACACGTCTTTGCAGGGTGTTACTGCACCTGAAAAGAGCCCTGGTGGTGTATTCGGCTGATAATTAAGAGTTTGGCAGTTCAAACCTACCCAGTAGCTTACGGAAGAAAGTCCTGGTGACCTGCTTCTCTCTGGGGGCAGTTTGGTCCTCTCATATAGGAGTTCTATGAATCAAAATAACTCCCCAGCACTTATCAGCAGCCATACCTGATTGGTCCTTCATTTGCCTGGTGTCTTGGAGTCATAGGAAGGTCTTCCTCCACTATTCAGAGCAGATGCTTTGATGTTTCCTTAATAGAAAATCAGCCGATTCTGGGCACTTGCTTTGAATCTAGTACTTTCCTCGGAGTTTTCTATGCATTATGTGTTCTCTTCTCATAGCACTCTCGAGACAGGTAAAGTAAGTAGTTAACTTATCTAAAGGTGCTTAACAAATAGCAAACATGTATTCTTTCCCAGTTTCTGTGGGTCAGGTGTGTGGACATGCTCAGCTGGGTGTTCTGAGACAGGGTCGCTCACTCACTGCTAGTCAGGTGTCTGCTGGGACTGCCGTTTCGTCTGGAGACCAGCATGCCTTTTCTCTCGTTAAGGGAGCTGAGGAACCCCCGGCTCTGGGCAGGGGGCACCTCCCACTCCATGTTTCCCTCCATGTGCCCCAGTCTGCTGCCTGCAGCTGGGGGCCTGGCTGAGTTTCCCCTGTTCAAGGTGCCTGTGCCTCATGGCTCAATGACAGAATGTCTTTAGGAAGGCAGTGAACTCGAAATAGCTCAACTGGTGAAAAGCATCTGCATTTTTAAGTTGGAGTGTCCTTGTATGAGGGTCTTCAGAAAGTATGTGGGAAAGTGGAATGGAATGATGATGGAATTTCTCCACACACTGTTTGAGGCCTCCTCACGTCTCACTTAGATTACAGTCGCGTGGACTAGGTTGTGCCTTTCTTTCCCTCACAGGTATTTGATGCTGGAGATTATTCCCTGCTGTGCTCAGGTCCCAGTGAGGATGGGCAGGCCTGGACCGGAGGAGATTTTGTCTCAGCAGATAAAGTCATCATTTGGACTGAAAATGGACAAAGTTATATTTATAAACTACCTGCCAGGTATTCATTAAATAATAAGTTAATATTTTAATTAAAAGTAAAAGAAACAGAAATTGAGTGACAACCTGAAAGTGTGAAAATGTACATAATTTAAATATTTAATTTAGGTAGCATCCAAAGTTAGATCTCTCATTCTGGCTTAACGTCTGCTTATACAAATTAGGTGGATTTTTATTTGAAATAGGATATATATATTTTACAGGCGCCCTGGTGGTGTGGTTGTTGGGCTCTGGGCTACTAACAAAAGACTAGTGGTTTGACCCCAGCAGTTGTTTGGCAACAGAAAGCTGTGGCAGTCTGCCTCTATAAGGACTACAGTCTGGGAAACACTGTGGGTCGGTTCTACACTGTCCTCAGGGGCAGTGACATGGAGCTGACCCGATATCAGTGGGTGGATTTTCTGTTTCTTTTTATGATATTTTTATAGCAGTTATTTGATTGAATGACTATATGAACTGTAATTTGAAAATCTACTTTTGTCTATTGTCTAAAAAACCTTGTCTCATAGGAAGATAGGATAAACTATTTCAGGTCAGTATTGTAGCTGAATGCTTTCTTCCATCCGCTTATAGTTGCCTTCCAGCTAGCGATTCCTTCCGCAGTGATGTGGGGAAAGCAGTCGAGAATTTAATTCCTCCTGTACAGCACAGCTTCCTGGATCGAACTGATAAAGAGGTAAAATTCTTCAGATGTCATTGAATCGGCAGTTACATTGAAAAATTTCACAATTATATTTATGGGTGTCTTTTGGTAGCTAAACATTTTGAAAAGATTCATTGCAACTCCAGCACTTATTAGATGTTATCTTTTTGGTGGTGTTATGTGCCGTCGAGTTGGCTTTGACTCATAGCAACCCTATGCACAATGGAACCAAACACTGCTGGGGTCTGTACCATCTCCTGGTTGTTACATTGAAGCCCTGTGCTGCTGCCACTGCGCCAGTCCATCTTGTTGGGAGTCTTCCTCCTTTTTGCTGACTCTCCACTTTTCCAAACATGATGTTCTGGTCCCTCTGGATGGCATGCCCAAAGCATGAGAGACGAAAGTCTAGTCTAGGAGCATTCTGGCTCCACTTCTTCCAACACAGATTTGTTTGTTTTTCTGGCATTCCTTGGTACTTGTAATATCCTTCTCCAACACCATAACTTGAATGCATCAATTCTACGGTCTTTCTAACTCATTGCTCAGCTTTCACATGCATACGAGTTGTTTGAAAATACTGTGACTTGGGTGAGGCGCACCTTAGATGTTATAAAAAAGTTTTCACTTGATCATCTTGAAGGATAATTTGTAAATTTGAGCCTTTCTTTTTCATATAAAATATGACTGTAACATAACATTCACCCTCCTCTAAGAATACAAGTGATCATGTGCTTATTAGAATTGACTTTTTGTTAAAATTCGTGTTGATGGAGGAAATTTATTTTACATTATCATGTGATTATAAGTGTAATTTTAGAAGGACAAAGATAATAAGTGTAATAATATTAATTGTTCACTACTTAAACTGGGCATTGCAGAATCTTTCCCCAAAACATGTAGAAATTAAAATCATTAGCTGTTCTAAATTGAAAATAATGTTATTTCTTTATAAAAAGAGAAGTTTATTACAATTTCTGAAAATGTGCTTAATGTCCATTTAATATTTAAAAGCAGCAGCACTTAGTATTAATTTTCAACTGTATATTCTCTGAACAGTAAGTAAGAAGCTTTGGTTTTGGAAGTAAAGTATTATAATGGGATAATTCTGGGTTTCTCAACCTGATCATTTTGAAAATTTTATCGCATCATGGAAAGGGAAGGACATACTTTGGTTTTTCTTTCCTGAATATTTTGAGTATTCAAGAAATATTTTGAGTATTCAAGATTTATGCATCTATGTACAATTAAGATCCTCAGTAATCTGTTCTTTACTCTCTTAACTTAATCTCCCACAATCTGCCCTCCAACCTAAACTCAGGAATCATGACTTACATAGCACACATGCTTGCAATGTTTCTCTCAAAGTGTCTGTGCCCCAGTACATTTTAAAATTCTATTAGATGCATGATGTGATGGGAGAAGCTCATATGTTGAAGTATGGAATGTTAGTTATTACAGCTGCAGTAACAACTGCTCTCTGAAAAACAAGAACAAGTGCATTGTTTATCAATCAAAATTTTTAGTAATTTTGAGACTTTAAGCGAAGTTGAATAATTGATTATATTCAATATATGTAGTTTCCATAGACTAACACTTTTTAGGAAATAACCAATACCAAATATGATAATTAAATTGTTAACTATATATACTGAAACATATTTATTACAACTCTTTAGGATAAGATTCCAGTTTTTAATATTCAGTGTTTGTAAGTTGATATTACAGATTTTTATTTTAGGAGTTAACTATCATTTTCAGATAAGAAATCACACTGAAGGTCAACATCTTAAGATGAAAAGGAATTAGTTTTCTAAATGAAAGTGTGCATAAGACTCAAAAGAAAGATATTTGTTCTTAATAGTTTATAATTATCATTGAGGGTAAATTTAAATCGTGTACAAATATGTGATCATGCTGTTAGGTGAAAAATATACCAATTCTTAAAAATATACTTCTCTAGTTGCACAAACTTGGTAATTTAATTTTGCTGCTGCTCTCAGTAACTAACTCAACAACTATATGAAGAAATGATTGACCAAGGATTATGTGAAGACAAATGTGGCATCAGGAATGGAGGTAGGCGCCTTAACAACTTGTGATATGCAGATCACACAACCTTGCTTGCTGAAAATGAAGAGAACTTGAAGCATTTACTGATGATCAAAAACTACAGCTTTCCGGATGGATTACTCCTCAACATGAAGAAAACAAAAATCCTCACCACTAAATCAATGAGCAACACTAGATCGATGGAGAGTGTTGAAGTTGTCAAGGATATCATTTTACTTGGATACACAATCAGTTCCTTCTGTGGATTCCATTGTGTCCCCCAAACTGTGTGATCTAACTGTAACCTCGATGTGATGTCTGTGGTTATAATCCCATTTAGAAATGTGTTGTTTTTGTTATATTAATGTAGCATGTATGTGGAGCCAGTCTCTTTTGAGATACATTGTTGTTGCCATGGGTTCCCACTCATAGAGGAGTGGCTGATGAGTTTGAATATAAAAAAGTAAATAAACACACTAACAGAGATGGGGAAAGAGATAAAGATTGCCTAAGAGCAAAATCTAAAAGAGACTAACCTTCCTTCAGAGCCATCAGAGCGAGAAAGCTAGCTCCCTGAATTTGGACTCCTAAGCTGTGGAAAACATATGAGGCTGCTTCAAAATGTTCATAGAAGAATAGAATGAAAAGCGAATGAAATTTCCCCACAAACTTTCTGAAGACCCCTTGCACATTTCTGTTTGGAAAAGCCATCTTTTTGCAGTATTTCTACTGTAGCAACACTAGACAACTAAGAAGTTGATGTTGAAGAGTAGAGGAGCTGCTGTAACAGATACCTACAGTGTAGAAGTAGTATTGGAATTGGGTAATGAATAGAGGCTGGAAGAGTTTTAAGGTGCATAATAGTAAAAGCCTAAATTGCCTTTAGAGACTACTGATAGAATTATAGGTGTCAAAGGAAGTTTGGGGGAGTGTCCAGAAGGAAGTGCAGGGAGCTATAGAGAATGTATCCATTGCTTTAGATACTGTATATGGCAACAGCAACAGAATGTTGGCAAAAGTATGGACATTAAATGAGCTTCTGGTGAGACTTTAAAAGAAAATGATGAACGTGATTAGACAGTGAAGAAAAGGCAATACTTTGTATGCAGTTGCAAAAGAACTTAGATTATGTTCCAACACTTGGTGGGAGGTAGCACTTGTAAGTAATGAGTTTAGATACCTGGCTCAGATTTCTAAGCAATATTTTAAAGGGGCTGTGAGATTTCTCCTTGCCACATACACTAAAACGTAAGATGATAGGGACTTAAAATGCATATGCAAAATGATAACAGAGTGGAAAGATTTGGAAAATTGTATTGTATCAACTAAGGATTAATCGCCACAGCAAAAAAAAACCCATCAGTTTATACTGAAGGGAATAGAGAAAAAAATTAAGGAAAAACACTCTGTCTCTTGCAATTCCATAGGCAGCAAATAAGCAAAGGAGCAGCACTTGCCCTCCACAGAAGAAAAGAACCATCCCTAGAGCAGGTTGCAGAAAAGCAGAACTGTTGCAAGAAGCACAGAGAGCAGAGCGGCCTCAGTATCCCATATTGGATCTCAGTGGGTAGGGCCTCAGCCTCTTGGGGTTCAAATGGTAGAGTCATGGCCTCCTAGGTGTAAAAGTCAAATCTTTACCAACTTGTTTCTGTAGTATGGGGTTGCCATTTAGTTTGGCCAAGAGAATGGGGCCTCTGCCTAAAGTTGAGAGGGTCAGCTAACATGCCAAACAGCAGAAAAAGGGGTCTGCCTTGGTTGAGGGGGTAGGGTTACTCTGATGACCTAGGAGAGTGGGGTCACACAAAGCCTCAGAGGCAGAGTTGCTGTTCCAGTGTACCTGGAAGGTGAAGCTAACACCCGGAGCTGAGGGGTCTCCACCCACAGTGTGGAGGGGAAGGTCATTACCTAGATGGTCTCAGAGAAGAGGGCATTGTTTTCAAGTCCAGAGAGCTGATAATAATTTGTTTGCTGGGTTTGAATTGGCTGGGTGTCTGTTGCCCATTTTTGCTTCCTCCACTTTCTCCCATTTGTAATGGGCATGCCTGTCTGCACGTGCTCTACCATTGTATATTGGAAAGGGGTAGCTTGCATTCTAGATTTCACAGGTTCCCAGGTGAAGAGCAATTTTACCCAGGGTGGAAGATGCCTGAAGTTTTACCCGCATTTGATTTAGATGCTTCAGAAGATGAGATTTTGGACTTGGAATTGATTTAAGACTTTGAGATAATGTGATGGGTTTTGTATGTAAGAAGGGCATGGATTATGGGGGACAAAGGGTAGAATTGTTTCCCTCCTAACCGCTCTGCTTGTGATTATAATTCCAGTTAGAAATGAGTTCATTGTTACGTTAATGAGACAGGATTGTTTAGGATATGCTTTGAGTTCATCTGTTTGGGGATGTGAAAGAGATGGGGTTTTGACCATACCATGGACTGCCAGAAGAACAAACAAATCTGTCTTGGAAGAAGTACAGCCAAAATGCTTCTTAGAAGTGAGGATGGGGAGACTTCGTCTTACATACTTTGGACATAGTATCAGGCTAGACCATTGCCTGGAGAAGGACATCGTCCTTGGGAGTAGAGGGTCAGTGAAAAAGAGGAAACCCTGAAAAGATGGATTGATACAGTGGCAACAGCAGTGGGCTGAAATCTAGCAACAGTTATGAGGATGACTTGGGCCTGGTGTTTCATTCTGTTGTATAGGTGGTTGGTATGAGTCAGAACTAACTCAGTGACAATTGGCACCACTACTGCTATAGCCAACAACAAGCAAGAATGGGTAAACATAGTGGGTTTTCTCGTTTTGACCTTTTAAGGAAGACTCTTTTCTGATTAACAGTGGTGTATCTTTGTATTCAGTATTGAATAGCAAGTAATTAAATAAATACTCCTGCTGTAGTGAGTAATCATTTTTCACTGAGCAGAGAAAGAAAGTAATTACTAACTCTAGGTAAAGTCTATAAATACTGTGTAAATATACTTGGCTGTTTGTGTTAAACTGGATTTGAATATTAGTTGACATGTGTTAAGATATTACTGAGTGTTCATGCTTTACATACATCTGTTTGCATCTGGTACAATAAGTGAAGCAAACTAATATCTTTATATAAAAAGTGTAAATGTGTGAAATAATTTCATTTGAAATAACAAAAGATATTTAAACTTTTTTCTTTTTCTTTTTGCAGTTACTAATTTGTCCTCCTGTTACTCGATTCTTCTATGGATGTAAGGAATACTTTCATAAACTATTAATTCAGGGTGATTCTTCTGGAAGACTGAATATTTGGAATATATCAGACACACTTGAGAAACAGGAAGGTGAGGAAGGTGATAGTAAACAATGCACAGCAGTTTTTAAATTCTTTTCACATCTTGTTAGGTGCCTTCAAGTTGACCCCGACTCTGAGTTACCCTGTGTATAGTAGAATGAAATACCGCGCAGTTCTCTGCCATCCTCACTGTGGTTGAGATATTTGAGCCCATTGTGACCTTTGTGTCAATCTGTCTTGTTGGGAGTCTTCCTCTTTCTCACTGACCCTCTGCTTTACCAAGGGTGAGGTCCTTTCCCAGGCACTAATACTATAAGACAAAGTTTATCCATCCTCAATTCTAATGCGCATTCATTCTGTCCATACTTCTTGGATACTAACAATTGAATAACAAATTCATAATGCACATACATGATTTTCTTCTTAGAAGGAGACTTTATGACAGTTTTTAATCTAAGGTATATCATCAAATCAACCAGAAGCATATTTATTGTTAAGGTTTTCAGTGTTTTAACATGTTCCAATGTGTTTCTTTTATATGAAACAAAACTTCAACAGAAATGGAGATTACAACTTCTGTTAGTTTGCAAGAGGCGTTTGATAAACTGAAGCCTTGCCCTGCTGGAATTATAGATCAGCTCAGCGTCCTTTCCAGTAGCAGTGAACCTCTTCAAGTAACCGCAAGTGTGTACATCCCAGCACACGGGCGACTGGTGTGTGGGCGTGAAGATGGAAGCATCATTATCGTGCCTGCCACACAGACGGCCATTGTGCAGCTGCTCCAAGGGGAACACATGCTCAGAAGAGGTACGCCAGAGAGCTAACAGCAAGGAGTGTGAGGACTCTGTACCCCTCATTATGAAAATGCATATGCAATGAACAGCTATACTTGTTAGTATGCTATACTGTTGGTAGAATTTAATGTGCAGATGACAAAATATTCAATGGCTACTAAGGAAATAAAAGAATATTCACTGTGAACATACTACACAAATAAGGTAGTGTTCAGTTCGATCTCTTTGATATGTGCTACTCACTATCAGTTCAATTGATTGGTTACCTCTGCGGCTTTTTTTTTGTTGTTGTTGTTAAATGCCATTGAGTCGGTTCTGACTCAGCAACCCTGTATAGGATTTCCAAGGTGTGGCTGGTGGGTTTGAACAGCCAGCTAAGAGGTTGGCATTCCAGTGCTTATCCTACAGCACCACACTAGAACTACAACAGCCCCTGTGGGTTACTAAATAACTATTATCAGGATACTGATCATCTTCTAGAAACGTGCTTTCCAACAGGCATATAATACAAGTTATATATATCATTTGGAGTCCTAGTGTGGTGCTGTAGGATAAGCACTGGGTTGCGAATCACAAGGGTTGGTGGTTTAAACCCACTAGCTGCTCCTTGGAAACCCTTCACAGGGTTACCTATCAGTCAACATACTTGATGGCACTTCACAATAACAACATAAATATCATTTAAAAATTTCTAATACCCATATTAAGGATGTAAAATGAAACATGCAAAATAAATTTTAATAATACATTTTATTGAACCCAATATAGAAAGCTATTATTTTAACTTGCAATCAGTATAAACAAATTTAATGAGTTAATTTACACTACATTTTTCATATTAAGGCTTTGAAATCTCATATATGTTTTACACTTATAGCACATCTCAATTTGGACTGCCCACATTTCAAGCACTCAATAGTCTTCATGTGGCTTGTAGTTTTAAAAGTGCCATTGAGTCAGTTCTGACTCATAGTGACCCTGTAGAGAGTTTCTGAGGAGCGGCTGATGGATTTGAACAGCTGACTTTGTGATTAGCAGTTCAGTGCTGATCCTGCAGTACCACTCCAGAACTCCTTCATCTGGCTACTGGCCGCCGCTTTGGACGGGGAAGATAAAATGGAAAGGCTTTTCGGGAGAAAATTATGCATAGCTCTTCTGACAATTGATGTTTAGTTTTACTTATTGAACGTTTGTAAGACTTTCATTTTCCCGTTTTAAAATCCAAAACCTCATTCTCAGGCTGGCCACCTCACAGAACACTCCGAGGTCATCGGAACAAAGTCACGTGTTTGCTGTACCCTCATCAAGTCTCAGCACGTTATGACCAACGCTATCTCATTTCTGGCGGTGTGGACTTCTCCGTCATCATCTGGGACATCTTTTCTGGAGAAATGAAACACATCTTCTGTGTGCACGGTGGCGAGATCACTCAACTTCTCGTTCCACCTGAAAGCTGTAGTGTAAGTTGATGATAAAAGCTGATTTTACTAACATGGTTGTCACATGTCATGGAGTGGGTTCCAACCCATCGCAACCCTGTATAGGCTTTCCAAGAGTTTTAGAAATCTTTTTCAATGAGTCGAAAGCCTCATCTTTCTCCTGCAGAGTGGCTGGTGGGTTTGAACCGCAGACCTGTGGTTCTTAGTCTAGTGCTTATTGTATAGAGCCACCTTTACTAAAGTAGAGCCAAGTTTTCCTACTGTGAGACTTTCAAATGGGATCTAGAGTAACCGGGAAGATGTGTCCAGAGAATTAACAGGACACTTTCAGTTTCAAAATTAAAATTAATAATAACATTTGTTGTTTTTCAGTGCCATCAGTTGGTCCCTATTCCTAGCGACCCAGTATAGGGTTTCTGAGGGGCAACTGTTGGGTTTGAGCCTTTTGGTTAGCAGTCCAGTGCTTAACTGAAAATACTTCACCAGAACTCAATAATAACATATACTTAAACAAAATGAAGACTCATAGCGACCCTGTATAGGGTTTTGAGGAGCTGCTGGTGAGCTTGAACCAATGACCTTGCAGTTCAAACTGACCTTGTGGTCTACTGCATTAACCTGCAGCAGGTACATAAAAATAGAAGCTAGAGGTAGCACTTTTTCCTTTTATTTAGCTCCTAAACAGTCTGGCCTGTGTCTGAGACATAGGCACGGTTTTAAGTATATCTGCTAAAGGAAGTTCTTATTTTTTTTGTTTTAAAATGATGTGAATATCCCTGAAGACATTGTAAAATCTCATTATTTTCAAGTTCAACTGGGCAGAACGTATACATTGATAGATTCAAGGAATGTGTTTTCAAAATACTTATCAATAGTTGTTAAGTACCGTGGAGTCAGTTCCGACTCATATGAAAGACATAAAAAGATGTGGCTAAAACTTTAACAGACTCATTACATTTCATCTGCATTCAGAAATATTATGTACTTCAGTGAATTTTAATATATTTTACAAAAAGATAATACATGCATCTTGTATACAATAAACATGGTCCTTAAGGCTGTTCGTTAAAACTAAGTCTCCTTCCCCCATCTGTTTCATAGTGACCTGGTTCTCTTAAACCTAAGTGGTACCATGTACATCCTTCCAGAGATTTTCCAGAATCTAGTTTTTTAATGCTTCAGAGCTACTGAATATTGGTTGAAATTTGCTGTCATAGCATCACTGACTGTTTAGAGATGGAATACTTTCTGAACTTGAATACTGTCAGAGGGGGGGCTTGGGTACATACCCTGCATTGTGAATTCTAGCCTGGAGTATGCTGGTTGTCAGAGGAGTATGAGGGAGAGTTGTATTGGATGGGAAGGCAAATATTGTTCATGTCCCTTGAGAGACTCAGTAGAAAACATCCTCACATCCCTATGATTAGGGTTTATGTGCATCCCCCTGTGATGAGGATGATCGGACACCTTCCCTACCTCTTCTCCAGCTGATTGTACCTGCCTGTCTTACTTCTCACTCTTCTTTTAATGCAGCTGCCTAGAGAATAGGCCCACCTTTCCACACCCCTGGGACTGTTTTCTTTGCCTTTATGTAGGTTACTGTCTAAGAAAGAAACCAGACTGATAGACTGATAAAGTACTAAGAAAAGAATATTTTAAAAAATCAAGTTGTTTTTTTAAAAATAATTTCAAATTTCCCTTAGTAAACCAAACTTGGTTGGTTGAAAGCAGTGAAAATTCAGAAATTAAAAAAAAACAAAAAGGGAATCCCATGATGCTAGTTGAATATATGTCTGAAAGGAGTGCTACACATTTCCTCAGTTTATTTTCAGTTATAATCAGGCGCTGTGGCAGGGAACACCCATAGGGGTGTGTGTACTAGTCTAGTGCATGATAACACAAAACCAGTGTAGTCATAGGGATATTTATAGTAGGAAAAGTCTTAGAACGGAACTGGAAAGAAAAGTCCCAAATTCCAATTGTGGGTTGCTTCTGGAAGGCAGAGAATGAGCATGGGAAGGAACGAAAAGATCTGATTGCCTTTTAAGTGCAGTACTGGATTTGTTTTCATTTAGTGTATACTTAACATTTCTTTCTGATTTGCATGGATGATTTGATCACAGCTCTTTTGCTGCTGCTAGAACTTTATCCAGAACAGAGAAATTAATTAATACTGGTATAAATGCGATACCAACCTTATGTTTTTGAGTGTGAGTATATAAGCTAAGTTCTTTAATATAGTAGTTAAATAGATGATTACGTTTCGTTTATTACACTTTATGTAACATTTATTGTTATAGAATCATATAGGTGTGCTCCCAAAATATCCAGAAGAGGGCAGCATGGGGTTGTGAAAACTGGAATGTCTGGTATCTAACATAGGCATTAGTGTTTGTGTCTCCTTTGACAGTGTTAGATTCCTACGGCCTATTCATCAGGGGCCCTCGTGACGCAGTGGTTAAGCACTCGACTGCTAACCAAAACTGCTGTTCGACAGTTTAAAGCCATCAGTTGCCTCTGCAAAGGTTACTTAGAAACCCTGTGGGGCAGTCTTGCTCTTTCCTGTAGGGTGGTTAGGAGTCAGAACCAACTCAACAGCAGCAGGTTTGGTGTTTTGGGTTAAATTCTATTCAGAGTGATATGAATAGCATGCTTGGGGGCTTCAGAAAGTTCGTGGGAATATCCATTATTTTTTCATTCTATTTTTCCACAAATGTTTTGAAGCCAGCTTCATATGCAAATATGTGTTTTCTGATGTGTCTAAAAGCAGCTCTGGTGGAGCAGTGGCTTCCTCATCAGGCTGCTAACCATAGCGTCAGCAGTTAGAACCCACAGGCTGATCCGTGGAAGAAAGATGACATGCTGTATGTGCCCATAAAGATTTATAGCCTCGGAAACCCAAAGGAGCAGTTCTACTGTCCTATAGGATCACTTGGAATCCTGGTGTGGTGCTGTGGGTTAACGTGTCAGACTGCAAAGCTGTTTGAACTGTAAGGTCAGCGATTCAAGCTCACCAGCCACTCCTTGGAAACCTTTTACAGGGTCACTATGG